GTCGTTGGAAGCGAGAAGCCCGAGTCCAAAGGACCGAGTGGTGCTCACGGTGCCTCTGGGGTATTCTAGGAGAGAAAAATTTGATTCTGCCCAGATGCTTCCCCTGCCCCGTGGCTAGCCAGGCCCATGGGGTTTCAGGTTCTTCCAGCCTCTCTCTGCATGGCTCCTGGAGCGGAGTTGGTCTAAAGATGGGGTAGAGGAGGGCCCCTTGATTGAGAGGAGCACGTGAGTCCCCTGTGGTCTTGTTAAAATGCAGATTCAGGCTCGGGAGGTCTGGGGGGATACCCCTGATCCCGCCTTTCTAAGGAGGTCCCAGCGGTTGAGGGCAGCAGCTGAGGGATGGGCCGGTGGCGTCTTCACTGTCTCCCCCTCGTGCGTGGGGGTCCCCTTCTTCCCACGCCTTGATGGTGGCACACGGCCGTCAGCGGAAGAGCCACCTGACTAAGTGGGCGTCAGGACTGAAGAAATAAATAGCAGCACCCTATTCTTTTTTTAACAATGGGGGAAAAAACATCTGAGACAGGACGTCCAAAAAGAGCACCACTGGTCAAGGCTTTTTTGTTTTGTTTTCACTTTCTTCCCCTCTTAAAAGTCCTGACCATGAATGAGAAACCGTAAGCGAAGTGAATGGCCACAGCTACCTGAGGCCCCCTCTGGTCTGGGGTCCGAGGTATTTCCTCTCCAGGAACCTCAGGCATCTGGGGTTGTCGTTGTTCTCCCATTTTATAGATGAGTAAAGCAAGGCTCTGAATGGACCGTGTCCCCAGCATGGGCAAGGATGGCATGTGTGTGTGGATCTAGGTGCTCTGGCTCTCACCATCCCCTCTGTCCTGGTGGGGGCTGGGTGAGCATTTATGTCCCAAGGAGCGGTGCCCTCCCCACCCACATTTATCTTTTGGTTGAGAGATTGGTAAGCCCAGAAGAAAGGACCCGCTTTCTGGAATTTTCCTCATGCATCCAAAGGTAATGGTCAATTACTCAGTTGGGGATTTTTAGGTCTGGATTTTTATGTGGCCACAGATAGCCCCCTGAATATCAGCCCATGGGCTTGGTTTATTCTGAAAGGTGTCTTGTCTCCATGCAAAGCGGAGGCTGCCTCTGCTTTTTTGATTCTTCTACTTTTTACTTCAGATTTACATAAAAGTACAGGGAACGATGAGTCTCCGTCATGACCTGCACGTGGCCGGGTCCTCTTCACCCCTCCCCCCTTGGGTCCAGCCCTGAGCTAGTTGTGAAGCAAATCCTGGGTGTCGTCTCAGATAACTTGGGTTTTGGTTTTGGGTTTGGTTTTTTTGTTTTGTTTTGGTTTTTTTTTTAATTTTAGGGGCAAAAGAAGTCAAGGAGGAAAGATAGTTTTTCCTTAACTTGTGTTCCAGCAAAAAGCAGAGAGCTTTCCAGAGTGTCTGAAGGATGAGGATTTATTTAGGATTTTATTTATTTGTTTGACAGAGAGCACAAAAACACATGTAGACAGGGAGACAGGCAGATGGAGAAAGAGAAGCAGACTCTCCACTGAGCAGGGAGCCCAACGTGGGGCTTGATCCCGGGACCCTGGGATCATGACCTGAACCGAAGGCAGACGCTTAAACTACTGAGCCACCCGGGTGTCCCAGAAGGATGAGGTTTTAAAGGAAAAGAACTTAAAAGGGGCTGTTTGCTAAGGAATTCAAGCTGGAGACCGTCTTTAAAAACCAGAGCACGGTTTTCAAAGTGATTTAAACAGTGAAACAAAGGATGGCTTTTTAAGATACTCTTCAATTCCTGCTGAGTTTAGGATTAAACCACCCTTTTCCGGTCAGATCAGACCTGCCTTAGAAGTTTATGGGAAAGGCGATATGTATGCCTCTGGGACATGGTTCTCCCCTGATTTTACTCTCTTGATTCAATTTAGACACAGGCCCCCCAATCCCCCACTACCGCCTGTGTCCATTTTTAAGAGTCCTTTTAGGTTTACAGAAGAACTGAGCAAAAAGTACAGAGTTCCCGTAAGTCCCTCCCCCTGAGAAGTTCCCCCTGTTAACATATTGCATTAGTGTCTTGTATTTGTTACGAGTGATGAACGAATGCAGCGTTGTTACCACATAATCTGTCCTTTACATGAAGCTTTGTCCCTGTGCATTGTCTGGGCTCGGACAGACGTGTGATGACATCAGTCCACCATTACTACGTCAGAATGGTTTCGCTGCCCTGGAAGTCGCCTGTGCTCATCCAATTCATCCCTCCCTCGCCCACTAACCTCTGTCAACCATTGCGTTTTTTTGTTTTTGTTTACTGTGTCCATTTCTCAGTCTTTTCCAGAACATTCTAGCGTTGGGGTCCTACAGCATGCAGCCCTTTCCGACGGGCTTCTTTGATTTTGTAATAAGCATTTAAGGTTCCCCCTTGTCTTTTCCTGGCTGGGGAGCTCCTTCCTTTTTAGTGCTGAGTAATGTGCCCCCGTGTGTGGAAGGACCACAGCTGACCCATTCATCTGTTGAGGACATCTTGGTGGCTCCCAATTAGGGGCAGTGATGCCTAGAGCGGTTGTAAATATCTGTCCCTGTTGCGGGCGGTGACCTGAATTTTCAACTCCTTTGGGTAAATTCTGAGTACTGCGATTGCTGGATTATGCCACATAGAGAATTTTTAGGGTGATTTGCAAGGATCTCTTTTTGGTGAGCGGCTTCAGTCAAAACTTGAAGGTGTGATGTATATGAAATGCACTAATCTTGATGGATGGTTTGAACTTCCGGACATGTCTATGTCCAGATCCCGAGATCCGGATACGGAGTGTGTCCAACACCTGTGTTTGTGTACTGTCTCGGGCAGTGTGTCCCCCCCCCCACCCCCTACCCCAGAGGTAACTCTACTCGGACTTCTAGCACCATCCCTCGGTTCTGCGCGTCTGCCAGCTTCCACCATGCTTTGGAAAGCAGGTTTTTTGGGGGGGTGGCTGGGGAAGGGGCCGTGAGTAGCAGTATGCTTTATTTTGGCTTTATTTTGAGCAGTGCCTGGTTTCCTCATTGTTCATGCTGGTCTGGAGTGGAAAGCTTGGCACACTTCCTGGGTAAATATTTTGAACTGCAGGCCAGCGAATGAATAAGCGTGGCTATGTTCCAATAAAACTCGACTTATAGAAACAGGAAGTGGGCCAGATTTGGTTCGGGGACCAGAGTTTGAATCCGGTGTAGAGGAGGGCTTTTCCTTTGTAAAATCCGGCCCTGGGCCACGCTCCAGGTCTGACCCCACATGCCCTGGGAAAGGGGGGCCTTGCGTACCTCCCAGGGCTTCCTCAGGTGGCCTTTATGTGCCTGCCAAGCTGAGAACTTCCCGAGTTTCCTCCAAGGAGGAAGACCACAGTTGTGGGGCCCAGGTCTGTAAAAATGGATTAAAACAAACAGAAACCCAGCCCGACTCTCCCCACCTTGACCACCACTGAAGTCCACTCCTTTCGCATTCACTGCCTGTCCTCCCCTCCTCCTGCTCATCTCCAGTGGCAGGCCCTTCCTGCCCGGCGAGTGGAAAGCACTGTTAAAGCTGAAGGTCAAGGAAGGTTCTTCAGTGAGGTGGAAGGGAGCGGAGGAACACGGAGAAGTCAGGAGACGTGGGGGATCCCTGCAGAGGCGAAGAGAGTGAGAGAGAAAGTTGTGGCCAGGCGGGGAAATTTTGCCGTCAGGCTCCTTGGAGGTGCATCGGTTTCGAGTGACTGAGGGCTGAGGTAAGCTTGTCATGGTCCCTGAGCACGGTCTGGGTTTCAGGCACTTTCTATGTGCCACCTTCACGCAGCGAGGAAGTGGCCACTGTCGGCATTCCCACTTTACGGAAGTGGAGACTGAGGTGTTCAGGGGTTGTGTGGCTGAGGGCGGGCTGCAGAGCTGCTCTGAGGTTGGAACCAGGATTTGAACACTGGCAGTCTGGCACCTCGGTCCTGGTTGCCTCTCAGGGCGGGGTGGGGGGGTGGGCAGCGGGGAGTGGCCAGGTGGGTGACTGGAGGGTGGCGTTGGAAGCCGGTGGCTTTGGGAGGTGGAGGTGACGGTTGGTGTGTGTATGTGTTCTGTGGCCGCGGAGGTGGCAGAGAGAACTGTGGGGGATGGAGGACCCCCTGGCAGGGAAGGGTGGACAGGGGTAAGCCATGGCCTTCACAGCTCTCAAAACCAGGAAACTGGTCTGAGACCATGTGAGTGTCGGCGGGGGACACAGGCTGGGCCAACTCCAGAGGCGGACTGAAGGAGGGTTTGATAGGTGGCCCAGGGGACAGCCTGCATCAAACAGGATGAGAAGAGTATTTGAGGGTGCCGTCGGCATCCTTGTCTACTCTAGGCTTTGAGTAATGACAGCGGCCATGGTAGTGGTACTTTCCATGACAAGTTAAGGACATCACTTAACTGGGACCCCACTAAGCAGAACCTTCCAACAATGGGATTTTCTCTGGTTTTTATTTTAGGAAACCACAGCTGAAAAAAAGTGGGTGGGCAGGGGATTTATTCGAATGCATTAACTTCCAGGTTTTACCCTGGAACAGTGGCCACGTGGGTCTCATACAAGTCAAGACTGTTCTACAACACAGACCCGATTACAAGGCTTGGCGCAACTACTGGCTGAGAAACTTAAATGCCAGGGGCTATGGGGGACATAAAATGATCTCAGACACGGCTTCTGCCCTCAAAGAATTTTCGGTTAGTGCATAGAGGATGCCTTCATCTTCCAGGCGAAGAGGCAGGATTGTGTTATGACATTTAGTTCAAAGATCCTCAGGAAGATTTAAGGTTGAAAGGGTGTAAGAGAAGGGGTGCCTGGGTGGCTTAGTTGCTTGAATGTCCAACTCTTGGTTTCGGCTCAGGTCTTGATCTTGTCGTCACGGGATCAAGCCTGGAGTTGGGCTCTGCGCTCAGCAGGGAGTCTGCTTGAGATTCTCTTCCTCTCCCCCCCGCCCCACTCCTGCCACCCTGTGTGCTCACTCACTCTCCCTCTCTCAAAAAAACAAAACAAAACAAAACAAAAAAAAACCCAAACCAAAAAAAAACAATAAAAGGAGCAAACATTTATTTTTTAAAAAAGTATGCGAGAACCCTAAGGGTGTGATCTTCGGGAACATTCCAGATGCGGGGGGCGTACGGGTCATGTCTGACTCTTCAGGGCCGGGTACGGGTCCCAGGCTGGCTTACAGCCAGCCTGCCAGGAGAGCTCAGCATCTGAAAGGCACAGATGAGAAGGACTGGGGCGGACAGCTGGGGTTTGGGCCCTGCTCCTTCTTCCTTGGGAACATCGGGAGCATAGGCAGAAGTCACTATAAATCCTGCTTCGGAGTTCCCAGTTCCCTAGGAGCCCAGTTTACTTTCTCTGAAGGGCCCTTTCTTGGGAGGACAAGCAGGCGCCTCCCCCATGCAGCTCCCAGGTCCGCTGGCTCCCTCTCTGAGCACCCGACCGGTTGGGAGGCGGAGGCTCATGGGCCCTCGTGAAGCAGCCCGCGCTATCCTATTGACGTTACTTGTCGTCACGCAGAAGCACACTCTTGTCACAACTCTGAGTTTCTGGCTTCTCGTGCCAACAGTGGGTCTAGCAGTTGCCCCTCCCTCCCAGCACTGGCTGGTGCTTTCGCTGTCATCCGCCCCCTGGCTCGGACAGTGGCTTTCTCGCTCTGCGTTGTTTCCACCTGTGCTCTACCAAAGTGGATTCCAAAGGGAAAAGCGGGATGGTGTGAGGGTCTCCTACCTGGCCCGTGTCCCCCACCACTGTTGCCTGCTGGAACCCTATGGGCAGGTGTTCTCTCTGGATACATGGGCAGCCCTTGTGCTCGAGCGAGCCTTGGGTCTCCGGTCTTCCTAGACTTTTCTTTTAAACAGCCGATGTGGGATGAGTCATGATTTCTCTCTGTCCAGGTACGTGGGTTCCCTGCTGACACGAGATTCTGCACTCATGGACTGCACGTGGACTGCCCAGTTACTGGTGGAATAACCCAACCTTTATCTTTAGGGAACTGGTCCTTATCGCTATCAGGTGGGAAGGCAGTGACCACTGTCCTGTTTCACTTCAAAGGTGGCTGAGTTTCGAAGAGGGCCCATGATCTTTGCAATCAAATGAGGGGAAAGTACTGGATTCTTCGAGAGGGGAAAGATGCTGGTAGGATAATGACTGTCTCAGGACATCTGATGTGCTGGCGTGCTCCGAGCGGCAGCCTGGCGGGGTGGGGCTTGAAGTGCACGGGGGACAGCGTGCAAAGTCAGAGCCCATACGGTGAGTTTGGTGCTCACCCTCTTGGCCTCTGCAGTGAGGGGGCTTCTGGGTTCTTTCCTAGGCACCCGTTGGCCACCTTTTTCCACCTATTTTTCCGAGTAAGTGCCATTATCACTTATGTGTGCTGCGACTGGTTCAGCAGAAGCTTCGTGGGCTGCTTTGTCACCGTGCTCCTCCTCCTGTCCTTTGACTTCTGGTCTGTGAAGGTAAGGCCGCCTCGCTCGTGACGCCGTCGCTCTTGAACCCACGAGGGCTGTAATTCTCAGCTGCCACGGTTGCAGATCGCTATCTAGGAGGGTGGCAACTCCCTACAGCTTGCATTTTCTGTAAAATTTGCGTAAATTTAAAATATGTATGCTGCATATTGTTTGTGGGGAGGGCGTGCATGTGGGGGTGTGGGGGGGGGGGGAAGTCCCCGGTTACGTTAAGCGCGGTTCAGCTTACCTCTCCTCTTGCTCCAAGGGCAAGTTCGATACAATTGGTGACTTTATTTTGTGCGCCAGCGGCAAGGTGATTTTCTCTCCCTGTGGCGTGCTTAGAGTCGTCCTATTTCCCCCAGAACGTAACTGGGAGACTCATGGTGGGCCTCCGCTGGTGGAACCAGATAGACGAAGATGGGAAAAGCCACTGGATTTTTGAAGCCAGAAAGGTATCGTCTGTACAAGTCAAACTCGACCCAGGAGAACGGCTGTGGAGGGTTTGCACGGGTCCCTGCGGGGCCCTATGCAGATCGGAGCCCCGCCCTGGGCTGAGGCCGCCGCTGCGGGAGCGCCCCGGACACCAGCGGGTGGCAGAAGCCTGTGGACGAGAAGCCAAGAGGACCGCCTGCCCCTCTGCAACCAGTTTCCCTCATTCTGAAAATGGACTCTCTCCTCCCTTCCCAGGCCTCTCCGAACCAGATCGCCGCCACCGAGGCGGAAGCTCGCATCTTCTGGCTCGGCCTCATCATCTGCCCGCTCATTTGGATCGTGTTCTTTTTTAGCACTTTATTCTCCTTGAAGCTCAAGTGGCTGGTAAGGCGACACCCTGGCTCGGACGGTGCTTTGCCGTCTGCACGGGCCAGGGCTGCGGAGGGGGCTTCTAGTACCCACTCGTTTGCGACCGCTATGCTGAGTCACGTACCTCACCAGCCACCCCTTGGGCACGTAGAGCTGTGGGCTTCCAGTATATTCAGTGTGCAGTCATCACCACAGCCCATGTTAGGGTATTTCCAGCACCCCCAAAAGGAGCCCCGTACCCTCTAGCCCTCGCCATCTCCAGCGCCTGGCACGCTCCTCTTTCTGTTCCAACCCTTACCAATCCAGACGTTGCCTGTAGCTGGAATTCTACACTGGAATCGTTGGTGCGCTTCTTTCACTGCACGCCGGTTTTCAAAGTTCATCTGTGTTGTAGCCTTTACCAGTACCTGTTCACGGCTATGTAATATTCCATCGTAAGGACCTGCTGCGTTGTTTCTCCACTCGTCCACTGATGGACTTTCGGTTGTCTCTTTTGGACTCCTAGGAGTAATGCTGAGAGAGGAGTTGTAAGCAAAACAAAGTGCTTTCTTACCCTAGGATGTTCCTAAGTAGGAATAAGCAGGTCTGAGTTCTGAAGTTTTGTCTTACAGGTTGTGAGTATATTCAGACACAGCCTGGAGCCCCACCCAGGGCTCGAACTCATGACCTTGAGATCAAAACCTGAGCTGAGGCCAAGGGTTGGACGCTCAACCCACTGTGCCACCCAGGCGCCCCTATTTCAGTTTTAGGACTCTTATTTCATGGCTGTGATCGGGCTCCTTCAGGGAGAAAGCCTCCACAGACGGTCTAAGTAGCCGTGTAATCAGAAGCGGGGGCTCCGGAGTTTGGCTGCGGGCCCAGCTATGCACCAGCTCTGGGACCTCAGGCAACTTTCCTTTCTCTGGGTTTCGGTTTCCTTCCTACAAATTGGGATGATGAGGGCATCGCCCACTCCGGTGGCGGCTGACTGAAAGATGCCCGTGAGGATTTGAGAAGGCTCACCAGAGGCTGGCTGTTATGAGGTACAGGCCAGAGCCACTGCTGCGCGGTTTGGGAGGAACATTCCCGAATGTGCTATTGGAAGAACCGCCTTTGCTGTGTCTGTCCGCAGGCCCTTGTGATAGCTGGGATTTCTCTCCAAGCCGCGAACCTGTATGGCTACATCCTTTGTAAGATGGGAGGCGAGAGTGACGTCAGCAAAGTCGCAGCCAGTTTTCTGTCCCAGACGGTGTTCCAGACGGTGAGCTGCTTTAGTCTTCCTCCCGGACCCCTGCACTCCACACCCTTGGAGCGCGGGTGGCCTCCGGGCAAATGCAGTTGGAACCTGTTCCCTATCTGCTAGGCTGCCGGGGTCAGTGGTGTGTGTGTGTGTATTAAAATCGGCACATTACAGGGACCACTTGGACCGTTTTTAAATGTACAGGTCAGTGGTGTTAAGTACATTCGTGCGGTCACGCCACCTTCAGCACTGTCCCTCTCCAGAGGCTCCCCATGACACAGTGACTCCTGGTCTCCCCTCCCCAGCCTCCCACCATCTACTTTGCTCTACGAATCTGACTCCAGCAGGGCCCTTGTGTTAAGTGGGATCCTACGGTACGAGTCCTTTCGTGATGGCCACTGTTAGTGTTGAGTAATCTAAAAACTACAGAATTAAGTACTACACATGCGCCATTTTTTTTAACCTAGCATATATTTCCAGAAGTGTCAGATCTTTTCAAATGGATGGTTTGAGCCATCTTAAAATTTGAACAACGCTACTTTACGCCAACACATTGAGCAGTGAGCCCTGCGGGCTTTCGGTTACATTGTGGGTTTGCTCTGGGCCTTGTATCGGCAGAGTCAGGCCCCTCACGTGTGAGGACAAAGCCCCAGTTGACTTTTCTCCTTGCAGGCCAGCCCAGGTGACTTCCAGAAGCCTGGCCTTGAGGGGCTGCAGATTCACAAGCATTAGGTAAGAGGCAGGACAGAGGTGGGGGCTGGGGCTCCGCTGTGCGGGGCGGCTAGCACAGTGGGGAGGGAGCTAGCCGGAGGGGTCTGGTCGCTGGGCCTTCCCCCGGCTTCCCGGTCCCCCTCCCCTTCCTCACATGGAACAGACACAAACTCCACCTCGGGTGCAGGCCAGAGGTGGGGGTTGGGAATGAGGGGAGAGGGAGCAAACGAAGGGATCTGCCCATCCTTTCCCGGATGGCCGGAGGGAGCTGGAAAACGGCAGTTACCTCTCCACCCCCCCCTTGGTGTCAGTTCTTGTGCATCTCCTCACAGCGAGAATTCTAGAGTTTATGTTGGTCTCTCTTATGTAATGAAAAAAAAAACAAAACAAAAAACAACCCTGTAAACGGTCTCATAAGACGGCAGAAATTACTGGACAGTGAACGCATCTTAGCGAGTGGGGCACGGGTCTGGCCCCGCTGCTCTGTCTCCAGGGGTGACTGAAGGGCTCTTCGGGGCTGGTTGCATTTTCCCCTCAATCTAAAGCAGCGGCATTTGGACCATGTTATTCGAAACCATGACTGGATTTTGAGATGGTTCTTTTTTAGGCGTCTCTCCTGAGGCCGCAGTGGCTTAAGCAAGAGCTTCTGTCCTTCCGCAAGTTTCCAGCAGAGAAGAACTCCCTGACCAACCAGCTGTCCGTTTTCCGGAAGCAGGCCTTGGGGAGAGGTTTGAGGAGACATTTTTATTCTTAAGACAGCGTGTTTGTAAAGAATGCCTTTATATGTATGTTGAAAAGTATACAAATAATACGATTAAAGTGTCTGCAAAAATGACTTCACGCCCTACCAGAGTCTGGTCCTTTTCTGCCCAAGACCCCCGCTCTGTCCCCGGGCTGCTCAGGCTGCGCTCCACGTGCAGCTCGTGTCTCAGGAACCAATGAGGTGCTCTTCTTTGGGCTGATGGTGACCACAGAACTCCTGGATCCCTGGACCAGGAGACAACACAGAAGCAGTGAGGCTGTGCCCGTCTCTCCGGCAGCCCTGCCTCCGCGGGCGAGGGCCAAAGCCCCCAACGGCTCCACTCCCCCAAAGGCCCTGTTTCTGCCGATGCCCTGACTCTGTCCACGGGCCTCGGCGCACAGCTGGAGACCTTACGTCGGCGCATTCCACAGATCAAGATGCCCGGCATCTTGATACCAATGATACCAATGATACCAATCCGTCCCGGACACTGTTTTCCTGGGCAAAAAGAACTTGTCACAGCGCACCAGCTGACAGCTTTAATGACCCGCTCCACCCCAGTGGCCTTAAAATGCAGGCCACCGCGGGCCACTCCCCAGCACGCTCAGGCCTGCACGTGGTGGTTTTCTTTTTTTTTCCTTCCTTCCCTCCTCCCTTCTTTCCTTCCTTTCCTCCTTCTTTCTCTCCTCTCTCCCCCTCTCTCTTCCTCCCTGCCCTTCTTTTTCTCTTTCTTTTCTTTCCCCTCAACGGCTTTCTCAAAGATGCCTGGCTTCCTGAGCTGAGGGGTCATTGCAGCCCCCACGAGCACTACTGTCTCCAGCCGAGGCTGAGTCGTGGTGAGCCTGATGACCCACAAACGGCTCTGCGTGGGACCTTCACACCCAGCCGGGCAGCCCTCTGGACCCAGGGCACTCGCGGGCACACGTACTTTGAATGATACTTCTATAGGCTAGAGCGGCTGCAGAAGCTGGTGCGTCCATCAGGAAAGACTGTCCTTTGTCGCAACTCTTACCTTAGAGAAATGAAAAAAAATTCGTGAAGAAAATAGTGGCAAGGTGAAGTAGGGGCTCTTTTGGGCCTGTGACATGGAGACCTTGAGCCCCTCTGACCTGTGGTGAAGCGTGAAGCAGAGGACTCACACGAGATCAATGGGACATGAAGACATGCGTGGAATGAGACCGCCTAGCCTGGTGCTGTTCTCCCCTCCTCCCTCTGCTCCTCCCTCCACTTTGCGTGCCCCTGAGCCTCAGCGGACCCCCCGGCTCCCTGCTCAGCACTATGACAGAAGCATGTCAGTGGTTCTGCTCCCCAACCTCTGGAGGGTCCTGGCAAGGCCAGCTGTCCCCTCAAAGAGCAAAACCAAGGGAGGGAAGGAACAAGGAGAAGGGGGCAGCAGAGGCAGAGCCCAGGCTACCCTGGGAATATGCTGGACTACTGGACTAGGTCTGGGGAGGCCTCATGATTTCAGCTAGAAGTGAGGCTCGAGGCCTCGTGACTTGTCCCAGAGGCCTGCCCGCTAGAAGGCATCTCGTTCGCTGGGCTTGGGACTGAGCACAGCTGCACTCGGGGCCCGCGGCTTTGCTATCATCTACCGTGAAGTGCTTTTTTGTGAAAAATGGCCCTAAAAAGAAAAACCTGGCCGAAGCTGGAGCCAGGCAGGAGGGCACACCCACCTCCCCTTCCGCCAGCAGCGCTTCCTCTCTCCTTCCGTTCCCTGCCAGGCGTCCCCCAATCTCTTGCCCGCCACTCCTGTCCTAGGGACCCGGACGCAGGCAGTAGCACACCCAGAGGCTGACGGCACGGAGTGTGCCTGGATGCCCCTGGCCACCCCATCACACCCCTCCTGTGCGTCCTCCTGCCTTGAGCGGCCTCTGCGCAGGAGACGCCTGCTCCCACGCCTGCAGGGAAAACGTGGGCAGACTCGGCACCAGGTCTGGTCAGCACACAGATTCCTCTGCCGGGGGCTTGTACCCTTGCTAAGCAGCAGCGGGCTGTCCGTGTCTCATGCGGGAAAGCATGGAGCAGGGCAGTGCTTCAGGCCGGGGGAGCACACGTGAGGAAGGCTCTCGGGATCTGCTGGGAGCCAGGGTGCTCCAGCAGCTGCTCGTCCCGCATGGCTCCCCCAGGCCACGCCTCCACACCATGCTCTAGGCCCCGCCTCTCTACAGTCCTCTGGCAATCTCCCCTGGATGGGCACATCCCACCACGTGCCGAGACTGCTGCCCAACCCCAGGCCTCCCCTGCCTCGAGACCCAGCATGCGAGGGGGAACTTAGCGCTCCTCTCAACACTGCGTCCTGTGGTCACTTTCTGAGGGAGGTCCCCATCTTCTAGATGGCTCGAACAACTCCCGGCCTTTCCCCACCCATCAAAAATCCTGTCATCTTCCCGCTCACTGTGTCCCTCCTCCTCTCTGCCAAGGCCCAGGCCCGCAACAAGTGCTAACCTCCTATCACCCGTTCCCCGGCAGGGCCGCTCGGAGGCCTCCCTCTCGGCACTCACCCCCGTGCCCTTGCTCGATCTCGGTTTCCCACTTCCTAACCCCTGAAGGCCCAGGTCCCAGGCTTGGCTGCAAAGCCGTCCACACCCGGGCTCCAGCCCACCTTCCAGGCTGCTCCCCGGGCTTCCCTGTGGCCCAGGCCCCGCAGCTGACCCTACTGCCCCACCACTTCCGCATGTCACAGGCTTGGCTACCTTAAGCAAGTTTAACTCTACCTCAGGGAAACAACAATTTAGAGGCAGGTGTCCTTTAAGGAGTGGGGGTGGCCCTCCCGACCCTGCCACCCAGCAGCTGACACCGGAGAGTGAACACAGAATGGGGCCGCCCGTGCAGTATCTGGAGAGGACCCGGGGACTCTGGTACTAAAAAGGGAGCATTTTTCATGCAATGGGGCCGCTGTGAGCAGGCCAAGGCTCCCCTCTACTGCTGAGACAGACAGGGCCGTCTGCACCGGGATGGACCTCCTGGGAGGTAGGATGTCTTCCTAAGGGGTTTTTGAGGCTAACTCTGTTCATGACTTTCACCTCAGAAGCCAATTCCTGTCTGAGACGGGACGCCAGCACACTCGCCTGTTATTTCCACCTCCTGTCCCTTCTCCTTGGTGAAATTCTACCCTGGGACCTCCCAGCACGTCCCTGAGCCATCTGCACCCCACCTTCCAGGACCCACCCTGCCATGCCCCTCACACTGAGGGCTGCTCGCTCCCGGGGCAACATGCCCGCACAGTTTATGGTTTCTCTGGGCTGCAGGGGAGCTCTTGAGCGTGGGGTCCTCGTCTGCTACTCCCCTGCCCAGCACCGCGCCTGTGGTGGCTGAGCAGGGTGTGAAGGCCCCGTCCGGCAACGGACTCACCCACCTATGTGTGGGTCCAGAGGCACTTTCCCCAGGAGTGGGATCTTCAGATCCTGGCACATGACCTCCGCACCCCCCGTTGTTGGGGGGAATATCTGAGATTCTTTCTGTGAGGCAAGTCAAAAGGGGAAGAATTAGGATTTTGTTTCAGAGTCATTAAAAATGGAGATTTTAAAGCAACTTAGAAAAAAAAATGGCTGTCTGAATGTGAAACATTAACCACCAGAAGAAATTTCATTAAATCAGCAATAGAGACTTTTGTGATTCCACTTCCCCAAATGACGGAGGAAAGCAGAAACAGTGTCCCAGAGACCCCCTTCCAGGCTTCCCTTCTCCACGGAGGAAGGGACCCATTGGCTGAGCCCCAGGTGGCCGTGCCCCCACCTTGCACTTGGGGCAGACGAAGACGCTCATGTTCTCCACCACTCCGATGATGGGCACCTTCACCTTGTGGCAGAAGTTGATCTCTTTCCGGACATCCTGGAGGGACACCTCCTGTCAAGGTTCAAAAGACGGTTTGTTTCAAGGTCAAAGTGGAAGAAAGAACGTTTGTGTGGTTGTAGGGATGGCCAGTGAGATGCACTGGGTTCCCCAGAAAGCCTCGGAGACTAATTCAGCAAGTATCTCTCTAGTCCCAACCATGGGCTGAGCCCTATCCTAGGGGCTATTTCCCCCCAAACCCTAAGAGGATAAACGTGAACGGCCGGATAGCAAACTTACAATTAACGCACAGAAAAGTAACCTTTTGTAATATCCCACGTTCTAGTTTCTCATCAACATACTACACTGAGCCAAACTGTGCAGTATTTTCTAGACTGGGGGATAGGAAAGGATGGCCTGTGGGCCCAGTCTGGACATCTGTTTTTATTTTTGTTCAGACTTAGTTATGAGAGCAGAAAGGGGTGGGGGTGGGATGCGTGAGGGGGAGAAACTCAAGCAGACTCCACACTGAGCATGGAGCCTGACCCGGGCCTTGATCTTATGACCTGAGTTCACGACCTGAACCAAAACCTAGAGTTGGATGCTTAGCTAGCCATGGAGGCGCCCTTACTTTTTTTTTTTTTCCTAAATAAACTTCTAGACATAGCCACGCCCATTCCTCTACATGTAATCAGGACCTGCTTTTGTCCTACAGTGGTACAAGGGAGTGTTTGGGACAGAGGCCCAGGGTAAAGGGTACAAAGGGTAAAATACTTTATTGAAAAAGTTTGCTAACCTCTGATCTAGACTATTATAAACACAAACAACTTTATGGACAAGAAGAAAACAAGGAATATTCCCATATTCAGATAAAATTCACCTCTGAACTCTAAAACCTCCTTTTACAGTGATAAGTAACGTAGCCTCCTGGCTTGGAATCTTCTCTACTTCCCCCGGGGTCATGGAGTCACAGACACACTATTCCTAGCTTGCTGTTGTCAAGTAACCGGGCTCCCAAAGGTTCAAGGCTTCGAGCCGCCTCTCCTGTGGCACACATTTGGTTCTCAGTCCCTTTGAGACCGAGATACAGACAAAAAGGCATTTAATTAGAAAATAAGCTGGTTTCAACTGGTCACAGCAACTCTGCGGTTCCCTCCTCAGTGGTCCTATAAGAAAAGGGCCTGCTTTGTCAAAAAGGACCCCCAAAAGAGAGCTGCCTGCCTGTGCCCGCAGCCGTGAAGGACTCTGAGAGGGTGGGTGACCCTACTGTTAAGTCACGCTCTCCAGAGAAGTTCCACACAAAGAGGACACAAATGCCAAGCATCTTCCCACAGCTTCCTGGAGAAGGGCCAGCAACTGCTCTGTTTCCCTCCTGACCCCAAGGGGGACGTCATGCTCAGCTTCATAATGTGGCTCTGGGGAGGCCATCTTTGCACCAACTGCTCTGTCGCTGTTTCTTAACAGATGATTTTAGAGTGGTTCCACGTTCACAGCAAAACCGAGCAGCAAGAGCTCCCGTGTGCCCCTTGCCCCCACACCCATAAACCTCCCCACCAGCGACATCCCACATCACAGCGCTCCGTTCCACATAGACTGTCTTCCTTCCAGGTGACGTGGCTGGGACCCACTCGTGACCACACTGCTGGTAAAAGTTCAAAACCGCTGTTAAGTCCATCTTCACTACCACCCGCTGGGCCAGGTGCTCCCCACCTCTCGCCACTTAAGTGGTGTCCTGCCCTTCCCTGTGACCCCAAGACCCTCTCCACAGGGCACCAGAGTGCGGTCACACACACATCCTGTGCCAGCACTCGCTGACCCGGGCACCTTCATGTGGCCCCTGGTGTCTGTCACACGTCGTTGGAGCGCAGTGTGTGCCTCGCGTCCAGCACCCACCTTCCTCTGTGAGCCACACGGGGAGGCACAGGGGGCCGTGAGGGAGGGCCGGCCTGTTTCTCCCCTGGTGCCTGGCCTGCTGGTGGTCTGTGAAGGTCTGGTGAGGCCTGAGGGTGGGACGGACTGATCCACGGACAGACTAAAGCCTCCCTTGCCTTTTTTTCTTAGGAGTGGAGAAGAGTATCATGACAAGAAGGTCCCGTTGAACGGAATAATCTATTATTTTCTTGGCAACGACAGTAAAGCCTGTTGCAGACCTGACCGCATTTATTTGCTGCTGGATTCACTCCAGAGGACACCCCTGCGCTCTCCTCAGTCTGGGTGCAGCACGGCCTCCAGGTGACTGGGGCGGGCACTGCTGGAGAAGGGGCCAGGACCACGGCGGCTTCTCCAGAAATCGGTCTATACCCCAGGCCGGCTCTAGGGAAGCTGGGCAAAGCGCACGGAAGCAGCACGCAGGCCACGGGGACTGCTGCGTGAGCACAGTAAGGGTGACATGACCTCGAGGGACAAGCCGGATTCTAACGGCACCAGGGGTCTTGCCGGCTTTCTGAGGGAAATGGGAAAGGCCACTGTGAGCCAATGCGGCTTTTACCTGGGGACAGAAAAAACTGTGGAATGCTTATTTGTGAACAGCAAATGCCTGGGCCCCAGATCCAGCTTCTAACCCAGTTTCTGGAGGTCCACACTGAGGGCTGCTGGAGCGCCACGTACTGGGGAGCTGCTCTGGGAAACGGGTCCGGAGGCTGTGTCAGAGACAAACCTCAGACACGGCCAAGTCGGTGCCAGCAGCCCCCGGGCGCCCGCTCACCTGAGGTGTGGTGATGATCACGGCCCCGTCGAGGCGCGCTGCCGACAGGTACTGCACGGCCGACAGGTGTTCGTCTGACGTGCCGGGCGGGGTGTCCACGATGAGGTAGTCCACCTCTCCCCAGTCCACGTCACGGAGGAACTGCTTGATCATGCCTGCGGAGAGCGCCACAGAGCCGCTGAGGCCTCTGCTCTCCCTTCTCCATACCTGCAGCCCCTCAGGCACTTTGGGATTCTCAGGGGCCCCGGCCTGTGCTGTCATTGGTGGCTGCGATGACGGAGACATGTCGCCGGCACGACTTGGGGGGGGGGCGGGGGGCACTGGCATCCAGACGGTAGAGGCAGGGGTGCGGCCAGCATCCTGCGGCCTGCAGCGCAGTCCTGCCCTCCCCTAACGAAGGACTGCCCGGCCCCCAACAGCAACGGTGCCAAGGCCGAGCAACCCTGCCCGGTGAGGGCCACTCCTGCCTGCTTCCCTTAAGCCTCCTGCCCAACCACCCTGCTAGTTACCTCACACGCTTCCTGCACGCAAAATACTGTGAAACCACAGTGAAAGAGCCCGAGGGTTACCTAGCCTTCAAAGACGGAAAGTCGCTGTAGATGTTACAAATGATAAAACAGCGTCTGTTAGCTCCCTTGCTATGTCTATGGCTCTCTGCAGCCAGTGCAGAAGCAACCGGATACTCCACTGCAATGCTCCGGAAAGCCCGGCAGAGGACCGTTGCCACCGTGACGGGAGACGGTGCAAAGGAAACCTCAAGCAGTTCTGCTCTCGGAAGACCGCGCTCGCAGAGAGAAAGCAGAGGGGCAAACCATTTTTCTTTGGTCCCCTCCAGATGACGGCGTCGTCAGGACTGCTGAGCAGGAAACCGACTGACATCACCCCCAGGTTGTCTTCCACGAACTGGAGAGGATGAAGCAGAGAACACTTAAAACCACAGCACAGGGCACTTCCTCGTCGTTTATCGGAGCTCAGACTGAAAAGGCTGTTTTGAGAACAAAATGACCCTGGGATCTCTGGGTCTATTCATTTTTTGATTCCACAAATCATTGTGGGGGAAGAAGGGCTACCATCCTGGGGGACCTGCACGGGGTGCCCCGGGGCCACATGCAGCAGTGCGGGAAGCGCGGCCCAAGCACGTCCTCGGCTGCCCTGGCCTAGGCTGGCAAACTGTGGCCAAACCTGGCCCAACTCCGTGTTTCCTATAATGTTTTATTGGAATACAGCCACTCATTCGTTCACGTACTATGACTTTCCCACTATAATGGGAAAGTGTGTGGCCCATAACAGTGAAAATACGTACTGTCTGACCCTTTATAGAAACGCTTTGCCAATCCCTGATCTTACCTGTGTTCCCTGAGTCTAGAAGAGTGGCCCAGTCAATACTTGCTGACACATAAATAGCTGGGCTGAGGACCGTGCTGCATGCCCAAACCGTGTCTGTTCTGAACACGTGGCCCAGGGCACACTGCCTGGCAAATAAGGCAAAGATGTGAAAACTCACCACTGGAGACCAGCCCGAGCCACTCTGGTGAACCTGCAGAGACATGAACACCGATGTTTGCTGGTAAGAAATGAGGCACCGTGGACATGGTTCTGACACACTCAGATTTACGCGTTAGGAAGACGATTTTATAAAACACAGTTCATCGTTTTAAATGCCACCACTCAATTCTGACTTGAGAGTCAGCAGCTGGGGTGAGGCCATGGGTAACAGAAGCTGTGTTTCCTACCCCCCGACCCCCACGCCTCGGGCTGGGTTTTTCTGAAATGCTTAGATGAGTCCAGGCAGGGAAGCAAGCTTGGCCGAGCTCACACAGAATTTGGGGTGTAACGTGTATTATAAGCGGGGCAGGAATCAGGCGGGGGTTGCTGAGCAAACGGGGCCAGGCTGCCTCGGTGCACATCCGGGAGTGAAAGGCTTGGCTTCAGTGAACCAGGGGGACCAGACCCTGCCCCGGCAGAGCGTCTGCGCCGGTCTGCTGCACCTCCCGGGGGGAGGGGGCCAACATGAAGCTCATGGGGCCCCCTCGAGATTCAGATGCTGTCCTTCCAGTAGGTGCTCGGTAATAGCCGGCATCCTGCCCCATACTGCCTCCTCATCCTGAGACTAGAACTGACTCAAATGCCAAGTACACATCGGTCTTAGCACGTGGGCCTTACAGCAACCCCGGAGCCAAAACAGAACCCGTTTTCTTTTCTCAACGGCCCTACAGAGGCCTAATTCACATACTACACCGGTCTCCCGTTCAAAGCGTACACATCCATGGCTTTCGGGCTATTGCACAGCTGGGCACCCACCACCAGTCAGCTGGAGAACGTTTTCATCACTCCAAGAAGCTACCCTAAGCCCCGTGACGGTCACGCCCAATCCTTCCACGTCCCCTCTGCCGCCCCCCATCCTAGGTGACCCCCATCTCCGCTCCGTGTCCACAGATGTGCCTGCTCTGGACAGCTCACAGAAATGCAACCCTTGGGTGCCTGGCCTTAAGGTCTTCTCGATTTTTATGTACTTCGCAAATTCCAGTACAGTTAACGTGCAACGCTGCCTCCGTCTCGGAGGGACGTCACGGTGATGCAATGCCTGCACGCTGAGTCCGTGCTCATCACCCCAGCGGTGCGCTCAGTCCTCGGCACCTAGTTCACCCAGCTCTTAACAACAGCCACCCTTCATGCCTATGGAAGCTCATTCTGCATGGGGGCAGGCCTGGAAGACGGATAAATGAAACGAGCCGTAGCACAGGAGAACAAAACGGCCGAACTTCTCTCTCGCACCGTGTGAACTATCAGTGCCCACAGAAGCCTCGCGGACGGTGTGGTGGGTGCCCAGAGCCCGCAGGCCAGCAAGCGCAGCCGTGCAGTGGGTGCACGCCACGGGGCCTGCTACCGATGGGTGCGCGGGCAGACGTGCGCCCTGCAGCTCGGCCTCCACCCCCGACGGCCTCGCGCCCTTCCCAGCACCCTGGGCAGCATATCCCAAGCCCCGAGCAGAGTCCACAGGCCCAGCCTGTCTGCTTCTGGCTCCTGTCCCCTCCCTTTGTCCCTCTGCCACTGTATGGAGGACACGCCTGCTTCAGCCATCCTGTACTTGCTCTCATGGCCCAGAAGGCTCTTCGCCCACTCCCCACAGCAGGGTGCCCTTGGCTGCACCCTGACTCGCCCCATCCCCTTACCCAGCCTTCATCCTCTACTGTCTATCAACTGCCCCCTCCCCCCAGGGCCGGGGGCTTCATCTGCCTCGTTCACCACTGTACCCCAACCCAGCAGGGCCCGGCAATCACATCAAGAATGAGCCCGTCTGACACCCTGGGAACATCCTAGCCCCCCAGCCCCATTTCAGTGCACTGCCTTTGAGGGGGCCCCTTTCCAGAACAGCTTCTTGCCACGCAGGACAGGAGGGGGCGGCCAGCACCTGCGTGGACTGCTGTGGTGCTGCAGCCCTGTCCCCACCCCATGTCACTCTGCCACTCACAGTCTCCGTTCCCCAGGGGTGACAACAAGGGCAAAAACATTCCCTCGTTTCCAGAGTACAGACACCTGGCAAGGACTGGTCTAGCTTTCCCAGGCACTGCGACATCTCTGTGCCCTACTTCCACATTTTACTTGCTGTTTCCCTTCCCCTCTGAGAAGGGACTGAAACTGAGGGTTCTCAAATGGCGCAGGCGTACTTGACAGTCCCAGTCCTCCAAGTTCACAGTGGCCGCTGAGGCAGACAGACGGACTGCTGAATGTGCACCTGGGTTCAGCATGGCCGTGTAAAAACGCACGGCTCTGCTGACCCCTCTGTGTGAGATTACAGTCCGGGGCCACGGCATGCCGTGAGAATACTTTCCTGCGGTTCCTCCTAGGCTTATTACCTGTTCTCCTTCCAAGCCCATTATCTTGGGAATTGACGGCCCACATATGTCAATGTCCAGAAGAGCGACCTGGGAAAAAAGAAGAGACCAGAACAGTGATGCAACTGAATGTACAATCTTCCAGATGTGCACCAGTGGGAAAGGAGGGAGGAGGAAATGAGGAAGGGGAGAAGATGGAAAGAAATGGAGTCAAATGAGGACCGAGTAGAGTCTCGGTCCCCATCCCCCATGTCTAGCCTAACTCTGGGGTGATCTTCTGGAGCCGGCGTCAGGTCCCCTAAAGATTCGGGCCCAGCCACCATCCACTTGGCCTTTACCATGGCCTTTACCATGGGCCTGAGGGGCGGGTATCGTGATCCCGGCTTTCCAGAAAAGGGAATGGAGGTTGGAGAGGCCCAGGGATGCGTTCAGTAAGCAAGCAGCAGAGCCAGGACCTAGCCCGAGTTCTGGCGACTCCCCCACCAGGGCTCCTTCCATTAGCCCGGGAGGACTAGAGAGGAGGGCCCAAGTGGAAACTCCCACCAAGCTCTGACCGAGCCCCACTGTGCTGTGATCCCGAAGGTTAATGACGGCTTAGCCTCAATTTCTAAAATAAGAAGGAAGACTAGAAAAGCTCTTTGCTGGTGATCTCTGCAACGTCCAATCACTCCTTCCACCCCAAACACCCTGCTTTCTTGGTGTGATAAACGAGAAGGTCTGAGACAGTCTCCAGGAGCCATCTGAAGAGCAGAGTTAATATTCATCTTGAAAAGTCAGATACCAAGCATCCAAAGTGCAGCACGTCTGGGTAACTTTTTAACTTGCCCCGAATTGGTTACTTGCTTCCTGCTTCACTGCCCCCTGCAAACCCCTACCTCCTGCTTCCTCACACCCGTGATCACGAAGACTGTTCATCCTGAGACCAGCCGCTTGCCTCCCCCGCCCTCTGCTGGACCAGCTGAAGAAAGCACCAGAAAGATGCCGTCGCCGCACGGCAAGGCGGGTGTGTGTTAATGATGCACAAACATTCTATCTCGGAGACTCACAATTCAGGAAACTACACCATTACTATGACCCTAGCAGACTTCACAGCACTTTCGGTTTCTAGCCACTCTGTCTCTGCGCCCTTTCTTTCGGGAACAATTTAATGTTTCAAGGAACTAAACTCCCCAAGGGGGTGAGTCTTGAGAAATGACTCAAGGAGGGAGGAAACATATCATGGGCACTCACGCCCATGGCGGTACCCAAAAAGGCTGTGAATGGCCCTGCTCTTCGGACCCCTGAGGGGCTCTGTGTTCCGTCCCTTTCAGACTTCCTGTCGAACCTGTCCCTACCTTAATATCCATCCAACTGGACTCCCTTTCTGCTCAGGCCAGAGAACCTGAGCAGAGAAACGTGCCTGAGGAAATCCTACCAGGGCCTCTGGGGAAGGTGCTAGAACCCTGATGAGACAAGCAGACTTCGCCACACCTCTCTCCCAGCCAGAGACTGGTGGAACAGGATAGTGTCAGGATCCACAACTTTCCCATACCCAGCACACCCAAACTCCCCCTTAAGAAGAGGTCCTGGGAGGTGACTCTTGGCACTCCAAGGCTGTGTCACCTCATACAAATGGCTTCTGTCAAACAAATGTTCAGGAGACCATCAGGCCCCTTCCAGCTCCAAAGTCTACTAGCCCTAGAGATGGGCCTCAAACACTTCAGTCCGGAAGCCCCCAGAGCAGACCTGTTATCTGCAAGGCGTGCTATAGCTCACAAGGCAGGACGACCTCCTGGTCACTCGTGGGAGCTGGTGCCCCTCCCATGGAGAAGCAGGATGTGAGTCTGCGGTGTCTCCCAGTTCAGGTGTCCTGCTCCCCTCACCACAACTCACACATGCCCGGCCCGCCTGTGAACCAGGGAGGCAGTTCCCAATTCTGCTCCCTCTTGGCTCATGCCCTTTGTTAACGAGCTGCTGGACACCTGCCTGCCTTGAGCAGAAGAGCCCCGCTCAGAGGCAGGGATGAGCTTCCACTGACAGCAGACAGGAAAGGGACCAGGAGTTTCCCTCCTGAATTTAGGCAAGGAAGAAATGTGTACTGAGAGTGATCAGCCAGACTCGGGATCTACTGTCTGTCACTAGCCCGCACCCTCTGGAGACAGGGCCGTTCCCAGTCACGAGTGGGATCCTGGAGGAAATACACTTTTCTTAGTGTGGACTTATTTTTTTTTTTTTTTTGGTAAGCCACCACCACATAAACAAATCTAGCTTCTCTAGCCTGATTTCCACACTGGATGGTACGTTTTCCTTCACTTGCCAAGTCCAGGCAACTACGTCACAACAGAATTATATAAAAGCACAATTTTACATAAACAGCTCTCTATTTCCAAGGGGTTACTTGCTTCTGGCCCGGTTAAAGCCCATCTTCAGAGGGCTGCTTAAGAAAAAAAAAAAACCAGAGGAATATAGGGGAAGGAAAGGAAAAATGAGTTAAGATGAAATCCGAGAGGGAGACTCGTAACTCTAGGAAACTAAGTGAAGGTTGTTGGGGGGCAGTCGGGTGGGGGGATGTACCTGAACGATGGGGATTAAGACACTGCATGTGACGAGCACTGGGTGTTGCAGGCAACTGGTGACTCACTAAATTCTACCCTGAAACTCGTAATACGCTATGTTAATCAGTTGATTTTAAATAAAAAGAAAATTAATGCACACACAAAATAAAATATGCCTGACAGCTTCTAAAAGCAAAGAACACTCTGGATGGTATGGATACTGTCTCAGAGAAATAATCAGTTTTTGGCCAACCAACTGGCCAATACGCATCTGACCCTCAAATGTCAGGAGACGGTTACAGAGTACATCAGTCCGTGCACTTGTACCTGCTCAGCCCCGTAGTTGGTGGCGGTGGGCCACGAGCCCGGCACTAAAGCAGAAATAATCACCCTGCTCCCCCGCGTTCCAGTTAGTGGGTAAAGGAACGACGCCTGCTATCACAGAATTCACTGAACACTTACTACGTAGAAGACATCAGACTCCGGCCTCATTCGTCCCCTGGCACTTGTTACACCCGCTGCCCTCATCTGGGCCCTTGTGGCTGCTCACGGAGACACGAACACCATCTCCCACCTGGCTTCCTGTCCCCTCTAATGACACCCAATCACACACTCGGCTGACGGTCATTGCGAGGCTCCTCAAGCAATGCTCCAATCCTGCCTCTCTGCTTTCCAGATGCCTTAGCAAGTCCTTCAAAGCCTCCCTGGTCTGGCCCAGCCTCCTCCTCGGGCCCCCTTCACCGGAGAAGCCCCACGACACTGCCCGCCACAAACACTTTCCATCAGTCCCCACCACAGGCCAGAGGCTGCCTTCTCTAAGCCCAGGGGACCCTCCCAGGCTTCCTTCCCTTGTCCCAGATCCCTAGAGCACATCTCGGAAGGTGGATGCCAGATTTCAGAGAAGCCCGCCTCAGCCACTGGCAGGCCAGCATTCTAAAATGCTCAGAACAGAAATGAGGAATAAGGGAGAATTCAGAGCCTGGGTGCGTGAGAGGAGCACCGAGCATGACAGGTCACCAGGTCCAGCCTCTTCCCTCCCAAGAAGGCTGGGCCTTGCCCAAGGTTTCAGTCTTGCTCCAAAGATGCACTACCCCAGCCGGCACCAGTGTTTCTGGTGCTACCAAGCAAACTAGGGGCCGGTGAACTACAACCTGGGGGCCAAACCCAGTCTGGTACCTGTTTTTGTTCAGCCCACAAGGTAAGAATGGTTATTACATTTTTAGAAGGCTTGGGGGGGGGTTGGAAATTTTAAAAAGTCTACTTCATGATGTAAAAACTATGTGAAATTCAAACATCAGTGACAGTAAAATTGTGTTAGAACACAGCCAAGTTTGTTTACAGACTGCCTATGGGTGCTTTCCTGTTGGAGGGCAGGACTGAGCAGTTGCCATAGCAACCGTAGGGCCAACAAAACCTAAATTATTCACCATCTGGCTCTTCACACAAGAGGTGTGCCCAGCCCTGAAGCAAATTCTAATTTCTTTCTTTCTTTTTTTTTTTTTTTAAAGATTTTATTTATTTATTTGACAGGCAGAGATCACAAGTAGTCAGAGAGAGAGAGGGGAAGCAGGCTCCCTGCCGGGCAGAGAGCCCGATGCGGGGCTCGATCCCAGGACCCTGGGATCATGACCTGAGCTGAAGGCAGAGGCTTAACCCACTGAGCCACCCAGGCGCCCCACAAATTCTAATTTCTTAATCCAGCGATTTGAAAACTGTATTCCTAGAGTCCTTGGATACTGGCGTAGGGTCTCGGTAGCCTCTGTGTCCTGAGCATAGCTCAGAACGGTGGGTTAGATCCTCTGTGCGCTGTAGCTGGCTTTTTTGTGAAGAAGTATCAAGCCTTATGTCAAGATCTTATGGTGTTGTTTCCTACTTACGTACAGTGGTTTATTTACTATAGGTATACAACACTGAAATTTATCCAGCTTTTAGAGTTTTTGTTTTTTATTTTTTTTAAAGATTTTATTTATTTATTTGACAGACAGAGATCACAAGTAGGCAGAGAGGCAGGCAGAGAAAGGGGAGGAAGCAGGGTCTCCGCTAGCAGAGAGCCTGATGCAGGGCTTGATCCCAGGACCCTGAGATCATGACCTGAGCCGAAGGCAGAGGCTTAACCCACGGAGCCACCCAGGCACCCCAGCTTTTAGAGTTTTAAAATATAACAGGCAATGTGTTACAGTTGTGAAATTTCAACACTAGGCTAAATGTACCTTTACAGTCCCTTTTAGCACTTTTTTTTTTTTAAGTCAAACAACAGTGAAAGGCCGTTAGAAAAGAAATCTAAACCTCAGCCTTCGTATATAAAAATAACTCAATGTTCAAAATGCATGCAAAGAAAACGAACGCTCAGGAATAAGTCGGTGTACGAAGGAGGCGTGATGACCACGGGAAAAAGTGAAATGGGAAGAAACAGCTTTCAACATGAAAACACACACAACTGTTTTCCTAACTCCTCTGCAGGCCCTGAACAGTGTCCTGGGACGCAACAGGGCAGGTGGCCATCTCCATCGAGAGCCCAGGCTCTCTAACCCAGGCCACGCACAGCACTGGCACCCAAGTCCTCAGCCAGGTCTCTCGTTTCGGGGGTCAACCCGTTGGACAGCAGGATTCTAAGAGACATGCACGCTGCTCTAGCAGTTCTCACGTGGAAACATGTTTTCCACTGGAATTTTGAACAAAATTTTATTTTGGAAGAAAAACAAAGATGAAATATGTTCTGTGTTTTTAAAAAAAAAATGAGAAACCACAGTATCCATGGTTTTATTAGGTATATCAAGTGGTAATCAACGTGAATACTGGGATCGCTTTTCTAGGGTCTGCAAAATTATCCTGAGTCCCACGAATAACTCAATGTATTTTTAAAATCACAGGTACTGGGAATTTCCAATCGAGCTTTGTGGTGAAAAGTTATTTCTTCCTCATCATACCATACCTTTCATTAAAGCTGAAATCCAGAGAGCAGCTGAACTTTTACTGGGCAACTGGAGTTTTCGTGCTCATGTGTGGGCTGGGGTACCAGTAAGTGGCCCAGTTCAGGGGCTGGCAAATGTTTTCCTTCCCAGGAGTCAAACAGAAAATACACTTGACCTTTGAACAAGGCGGAGGTTAGGGGCAACCCCTGTGCAGCTGAAAATCCGTGTATAACTACTGACTCTACCAAAATTTAACTACTAATAGCTTACCGTTGACCCAAAGTCTTACAGGTTTAACAGTCGATTAGCACATATTTGTGCATATGGGTATTATACACTGTACACTTATACTACACTAACCTCCAGAAAAAATGTTATTTAGAGAAATCATAAGGAAAACACATTTATAGTACTATAAAAAAAATCCAGGGGCACCTGGGTGGCTCAGTGGGTTAAGCCGCTGCCTTCAGCTCAGGTCATGATTTCAGGGTCCTGGGATAGAGCCCTGCATAGGCTCTCTGCTCAGCGGGGAGCCTGCTTCCCCCTCTTTCTCTCTGCCTGCCTCTCTGCCTGCCTCTCTGCCTCCTTGTGGTCTCTGTCAAATAAATAAGTAAATATTTAAAAAAAAAAAATCCACATATAAATGGAACCATGTGGTTCAAACCCATGTTGTTCAAGGATCACCTGTATTTTAGACTTTGTGGGCAAAATCAAGGACACTATAAAACAATTCAAAAGCAACTGTTTATAGATGTAAAAATCATTCTTAGCTCATAGACCGTAAAAAGGCAAGAGAGGGGCTGAATTTGCCCAAAGGCAGTTTGCAGACCTCTGGCTTAGAAAGAGGCAGGAAGGGACTGAGAGGAAGAACTCTGAACTTAACAAAATGATCAGCGGTGCCAAATGAAATCTACACTTGCTATCCATTGTCACAGGTAGGGAACCTAATGAAACGTTTCATCTCACTGCATAGCAGCCACGCGCTTCCTCCTCCTCTCTGCAAGGATCTAGAGTCCCAAGAGACCAATTCAATTTAGTCTAAGCAATCAGTTCTCCAGAAGTCATCACACATCCTCATATAGGATCCTCTCCCACTTTTCCCCAAGGTCTCACCTGTGTGTTTTCATCCTCTGCTAGGCCATGGGCAAGGTGGGCACTGAATGTGCTTTTTCCAACGCCACCTTTCCCAGATAATACCAAGATTTTGTGTTTCACGGTCTTCATTTTTTCTTTGATTTCTTCTATGGCTGCAAAGAAAGCAAATCAGGTGATTTAGTCCCTGAACTAAATTTCAAGTGTCACTTTTCCAATGGACCAGCAGGAGCTAAATCCTTGGGGCCATTTCAAGGGCCTGTGTGTGAAAGATCACCTAGTCAATGACAATAACAAGCACTACAAAGAAAATAAAGTTATTATCATCTCTGAAATTTTCTTGTTTATTGGTTTACTTGTCTGTCTCTTACTAAAACATAAGCTCCACGAGGATACAGCCTGTCTGAAATGTTCACAGCCATGTTCCCAGCTTCAGAAGAGCTTCACACATAGTCATGGCTCCCAACCTGGGGGCAAAATCCACCTGGGGACACTTTTGATTGTCACAAGGAAGGGGTGCCGCTGTTATGTAGTGAGTAGAGGCCACAGATGCTGCTTAATGTTTAACAATGCCGGCACCTGGGTGGCGCAGTAGGTTAAATGTTCAACTCTTGGTTTTGGCTCTGGTCATGAGATTGAGCCCCGTGTTGGGCTTTGCGCTCTGCTCAGCATGGAGTCTGCTGGAGATTGTCTTCCTGTCCTTCTGCCCTCCCCCTGCTCGTGTTCTCTCTCTCATATAATTCCTTAAAAAAAAAAAAAACAAAAAACCTAAGAATGCTCAGGACAGCACCCCACCCCAAAGAATTATCCAGATTAAATGTTCATAGTGCCAAGATTGAGAATCCCTTACAAACAGCAGGGATTTATGAGGACCAGTCACAGATAACCATCACAGATCATACACTTGCTGTGCACTCAACATTTCACCTTACTTCAATTCCTTATCATAACACCATGAAGTAACTAGTCTACCTGCCCCTTATTTATAATTTTTTTTTAAAGATTTTATTTATTTGACAAAGAGAGAAGACAGCGAGAGAGAGAAAGAGAGAGAGAGAGAGTGAGCACACAAGCAGGGGGAGTGGCAGAGGGAGAAGCAGGCTTCCTGCCAAGCAGGGAGCCTGATGTGGGGCTTGATCCCAGGACCCCGGGTTAGAAGGACCCCGAGCCGAAGGCAGCTGCTTAACAACTAAGCCACCCAGGAGCCCCTGTCCCTTCTTTAAAAAGTAGGTTACGAGGGGCGTCAGACTCTTGGTTTCTGTTCAGCTCAGACAATGATCCCAGGGTCCTAGAATCAAGCCCCAGGTCTGGCTCTGCATTCAGTGGGGAGTCTGCTTGGGATTCTCTTCCTCTCCCCCTCCCCCCTCTCCTGTTTGTGAGCACGCTCTCTCTCAAATGAATAAATAAACCTTAAAAAAAAAAAAAAAAACCCAAGAAGTTGGTTCCAAGCCCAATGTGGGGCTTGAACTCATGACCCTGACATCAAGAGTCACATGCACTATGGACTGAGTCAGCCAGGCATCCCGACCCCCATTCTGGATAAGGGAATGGAGGCTCAGAGACTTTAGGAGTCTTGCTCAAGGTCATACTGTTTGCGGGAACCAGGAATCAAACCCGAGTCTCTCTTTGAACTCGTTCACAATTCTCTCAGCCTCCTTTCTCTTCTTTTCTTTTCAATTTGACAGACAGAGATCACAAGTAGGCAGAGAGGCAGGCAGAGAGAGAGGAAGGGAGGCAGGCCCCCTGCTGAGCAGAGAGCCCCATTCGGGACTCGATCCCAGGACCCTGAGATCATGACCTGAGCTGAAGGCAGAGGCTTTAACCCACTGAGCCACCCAGGTGTCCCAGCCTCCTGCTTTTTAAGATCCTTTTGGTAAATCCCCAGAGTCTGTCCCACCCTCCAATTTGTCCTTCGTCATACTTATCGCTGCGATGATTTAATGCTTGCTCACTGGTTTATGGGGGGTCTCCCCTATTAAACTAACATCCACTAGGGCAGCGACCTCTTCTCTCTCATTCACAGCTGTATCCCCAGTACAAAGTACTGTGCCTAGCAGGCGAGGATGTATTTCTGTTAAATGAACAGGAGAAATGCTCCTTCTCAAAAGGAAAACAATTCCGGGCACCTGGGTGGCTCAGTGGGTTAAAGCCTCTGCCTTCGGCTCAGGTAATGATCCCAGGATCTTCGGATGGAGCCCCGCATCGGATGGAGCCCCACATCGGGCTCTCTGCTCAGCAGGGAGCCTGCTTCCCTCCCCGCCTCTCTGCCTACTTGTGATCTGTCTCTCTGTCAAATAAATAAAATCTTAAAAAAAAAAAAAGGCGGGGGGGGGGGACAATTCTGCCCAAGAATAAGCCAGAGCAACCCCCAGTTCAAAGTCTATACCCTATTCCCTAGGACGCTGCCTTCCACCCGACCACTGACTACTGCTGTCACTCAAACCTCTGGCTCCACCCCTTCCCTCCCGCCCCTAGACCCGCTTACCTTGAGACACGCCCTCCCTTAGACTGGCAGGTCAGTCCCCGGTCCTTCAGGCTCCGCCCCATCCCACTACTTCCCTCTACTCTTCGGACTTCTCCACAGCCCGCCTCCTCTAGGCCCACCCCTCCTCCTTAAAAGGCCCCCCGGGTCCCACCTCTTCCGGGTTGGCGCCCTTCACTTCCGGTTCAGGCCTGGCCCCTTCCTCACCTGGATCGGGAGCGGCGCCGGCTCCGGAAGCGCAGAGCCGCTGATTGGGGCAGCCCTGACATGAGGCCCCTCGGCCCGCCTGGGCGCTGCCGGTCCCGGGACAGCCTGCGCGGGCACAAGGTCACAGTTAGAGTGGCTCCAGTCCCTTCAGCCTTTCCACCCACGCCCCTTCCGCGCGCTCACCCTGAGGCACCTCCTCCATTCGGCTGCCTTCGATGTCTACGCGGTCACCGGAATACGCCTTACGTATTTCCGTCTCCCCGCGCCCAATTTGACTCTCCAGCCGCGCGAAGTAAGTCTCGGAAAGAGGGATTTGCTCACGCGCGGACCTTGTGCGCGGTGCTTGGGGCTGGTCTTTTCCTTTAAAGCCGAGCTGTGAAGATCTTTCGTAAATTATTCAGTGTATAGCTCCTAGGAACAAAGGCATTATCCTCCGTGACCTCAGTGCTCTTTCATACCCAGGCAATCGGATACTGATGCAAAATTATTAGCTAACGTGCACTTTATATTCAAACGTACTCAGTTGTCCCAAAGAAGTCCCTCCGCCCCCGCATCCTGGATCCCGTCAAAAGTCGCACCTGCCATTGGTCCTCATCAGGTTCTTAATTCAGAACAGTCCTCCTCTCCTGCCCCCTTGCCATTTTCTGTCTTTGAGGACATGAATGAATGTGGATACAGTCCAGGCCATTCATTCGCCTTATACCGTACCCACTCCAGGATCTTGTTCTGTCCGATTGCCCGCCCCCGCCACGATTAGATTCCGGTTAAAAGGTTTTGGCATAAGGCCCCTGAGTAATGTGAACAACGGTGGTGTCACAGCGAGAGGCACAGAATGACAGTGGGTCCCGCTGTTGGTAAGGTGAGGGCTTGGCCGCTTGGGGAAGGCGGCGTCCGCCCGCCCTGCCTCTCCAGCGAGTGGTACCCTTTTCCATCTGTAATGAATAAGGGTTCTGAGATGATTCCTGGAGGTCATACGAGTATCCTGTTCATCAACCTTGCCCTTGGCGGTTTTAGCACTGTGCTTGCCTGAACCCGTTCTAGCGGTGTTCCCAAACTTGTGCCTTTGGGTGAGAAAACAGAGGGTCCAAATGTCTGAACTCCTTTCCTCAGGTCACACTGCTGCTAGCGAGGGAGCCAGAGGGATGAACCTGGGCCGTGGGGCTTGTGAGCCTGCCGGGTCACCCATAACACACAGTGACAGGTGCCTCCGTACGAGCTGCTGGTGCCACCAAACTGCCATGATGCGTCGTCCTGGCACCCAGCCTGGCCGCCACAGTGGATAACGAAGCAGGTAATTAGTTTTATAAAAGCTATGACATTAGACAACAGGGGTGTTAGGGAAGAAGTCCTTAAAGGGCGGTGGCGGGGGTGACGAGTGGTGTTTCAGACAGAACGAACCACACAAATAAGCCCAGAGGTCAGAGAGAAAGTCTCCTGTTAGGCCGGGACTGTCCTGATCTGCAGTTTGCAGGTAGGAAGACAAGGTCACTGGGTCTTCCCCTCCTCAGTCCCTCCCTCCTCGCTCCTCCCCATAAGGCTGTAAAAACCATCATATTCCACACTAGAAAGTAAAATCAAGTAAACTTCCTCTCTGCTTTGCTCCAGATCTCTGTCCTGCAGTCCTCGGCCAAACTCCTGTCTCACTGGGGATGGAATTTTCCATCTGTGGGAGTGGGACCTGGAGGGCAGGAGGGAGGCTGCAGAGCAGATTTCCAGGCCCATCCTGACCTCCTGAATCAGAAACTCATGGGCTGGGCTGGGGAATCCGCTTCTTTATGCTCTCACCAGATAGTAATTTTATGCACTAAAGTTTGAGAACCACTTCTGAAGAGGAGTACGTCTCAAGACTCTGTCCTTGGCCCACTTGTAGTCACCCTTTCCACATCCTTCATGCCTTCAGGCCTAACAAACTTCTATCCACAACTCTTTCCTCAAACCACTTCCTCCTTCCAGAGTTCTTATCTCAGAGAATGGTACCCCCGCTGCCCTAAGAACTCAGGTCCGAAATGTGAGCATCAGACTTGCTTCCTTCTCACCATCTCCCTGTATCAGTTAGCACCTGCTGCGTAACAAGTCATAAATACACATATATGTATGTATATATGTATACACACACACACACACACACACACACACACATACATATATATACTGTGGTTAAAACAAAGATTTATTATTTCTCATGAGTCTTCTCATGCTCACTAATGTGGCATCATTCAGGGTGGAACAGAGTAGATTCTCATTCTCGTGTGTGCCTCAGTCTCCCTCCTTGTGACCACTGTCTCTCCACAAAAAATTCAGTGGTCTAGCCGAGCGCCTTTCCATGGCAGCTGAATAAGGCTGAGATCTGGTGCAGGGTCTCTTTCTCATATCGTACTGGTCAAAGCAAGTCCCAAGGACAGCCTGGGTTCCAGGGGCAGGGAAACAGAGGCCACATCTAGGTGGGCAGAGTGGCAGGCGTGTATAGAGATGGCGGTACAGGCTGGCAGTCATTGCTAGAAACGTTCATGATGTCTCCCTCCATGTCCAATCAGGCATCAAGTCCCCTGGCCTCACTCCTGTGTAACGTGATGGTGTAGTTCCCTAACTGGTCCCAGTGTGTCACCCCACTGTCAGCAAGTCCTCTGTTCTACCCCTAGACTCTGGGCTCAGGCATGTGACTGACTTTGCTCGTGAAATGTTAGCCAAAGTGAGCTAACAAAAAACAGGTACGAGCCTGCTCTCACTTTCTTCACTTGCCCCTCTGCCCTCACTATGAGAACACCTCGTGGGCTAGCCCGCAGGAGGGAAGACATACGGGGCCAGGCTGAGCCACCTGGAGTGGTCTCAGCCAAGTCTGTCCCAAATCAGGGACCCTGAGACCCGGGAGAGTCCAGAGCCCCTATCCAGACCCACAGGTGACCACCAGGTATGTGAGTCCTGAAGAACCATCCAGCCAACACACAGACTCAGGAGCTAAACAAACACTTCACTGTGTTAGGCCCCCAAGTTTGGGGTGGCAACAGACAGCTGACGCTACATGACATCATCGCCCCGTGACCTTCATCCAGACCCTGGTTCTCCTGGGCCTGCAGTGGTTTCTGGGTAGCCCCACTAGGCTATGTGGCCACAACAAGCCTCCCCCAGCCTGTAGAGGCTTGAGGCAGCAGAGATCATTCTTGGCTCCACCTACTGAACAGGTTCATGGGCACACACCTGCTCGTCGTTCCTCAGGGACACACAGGACATAGGCCCTACCGTCTCACGTTGCCATGGTCTGAGCACCAAAGCTGGAGCACATGACTTGTACGATGCTTCTTCAACACATCCCCCCCCCCCCCCCGAAACGACCCCTAAGCACACACCTTCTATCCAGAGAATCGGTCACACCCAAAAGAGGCATAGGGAGTGTGGTCCCTGGAAGGAGCAGAGACCAGGGAGTGGCCGGTACTGGACTGTCTCTCATGGTTCCCCAGGGGGCTCCTCTGCTACACGTCATACGGTCCTTTCCCCTCACAATTCAGATGGGTCACTCTGCTACTCACGCACCTTCCCTGGCTCCCCATGGCCCAAGCTAGCACCAATCTTGATACGGTTTTCAGTCCAGTCAACCCCATGACTCGGGTTACCCCTGCCACCCCATTTTTGCTCTGTGCCACTGTGCACGCCGAGCTCGATCTAAAACTGAAGAGCAGGCTTTTCCTTGGCACCCCAGCCATTCCTCTGCGGCTCACACCAGTCCTTCACCACGACTGTCCTCCCTCTCTGGCCCTCCTCTGGGACAGGTCACCTCCACCTCTCCGCATCATCCCACGGGAAGCTGGTTCAGGCCCATGGAACCCACGGCCTTCTCCTTTCCTGAACACGGCATGTTCCAGAAGTCTGAGCCCAGTTTTCCGTTTTAGGAACCCAGAAAGTGTGAATGCTGCAGACCTAACCAGAACCAGCGTTTGAAAGTCTATTTCTATTTACATCTCCTTTACATTTATTTAGTTTAGGGAGTTTGATAGATTTTACATTTAAAGTTTTTATTTCGGTCCCCCTGACTGAAGGTGGCAAGGAGGACTGAAACAGCAAAGCGAGAGCTAGAAATGTTGTCATTTCAAATGTGGAAAAACCTCAGTACATGCCAAAAGATTTAATTAGCTACGTTTTGAAAAGCTTTTAAAAATAAGTTTGTCAAAGTAGAGACCCAGCAGAAAGCTCAGCGACTGCCAGGGGTTGGGTTAGGGAGGGAGGAGTAGGCGGAGAGCCCGGGATTTTGAGGGCAGGGCAGCTCTCCCGTGTCAGGTGTGATGGCGAGTACTTGACATTGTGCACGTATCCCGTCTCCCAAACCCTGCACCAGCAAGAAGGAGCTCTAACTCACCCTGTGGACTTTAGTTAATAATAACGATTCACTATTATGGTTCACCCAGATGACCCCACCAACGCCAGATGTTAGTAATGGGGGAAATTGCCAGGGTGGGGGTGGGGGGGAAGAGGTAGAGAGGGAATATTCTGGAATTCTCTAAGCTTCCTGATAACATTTCTCCATATGCCTAAAACTGCTCCGAAAACAAAAATATTTTTTTTTTTCCTTTCTAAGTGTGGTTATACCTCCGATGTGATGAGAGTTTAAATGTGCGTAAAGGGTGCTGGGACACTTGTGCACATACCCCCTGTAGCTTCCTTTCTCAATGTGAGTTCATAGTATGATCCCCTGGGGGTCTTAGGCCAGGCACCTGCTCAGGCGGGGAGCCTTGGCATGTGCCCAAAGGGGTTCTGAACCCGGTTTCCAGTGTGGGGTTTCTCCAAACCAGCAAACAGCGCCGGGGCGCCTGCCGGGTGTCCTACAGTTGAGGCGGGTTCCTTGATTCTGATGCTCTTCACTGGAGATGGCGTTCGAATCCACAGATTAGGGGCTCAGTTTTACAGAACTGGACAACCCCCCCTCCCCACCCCACCCCCCGCGACTTCATGTGTCAGTTGCACTTCCCGGTTGTCACCTCTCCTGATCGCCCGGCTGTACTTTGGGGGTTCCCGTGATACACACGCCCCTCCGTGGACTGCAGACACCTGTCAAAGTCTAGATTGTTTTCTGACCGACTGGCTACAGATCAGTTTTCCGTGACCTTCTCTCCCTTTGGATTTGATTAATTTGCTAGAGCGACCCACGGAACTCAGAAAAACTTTCCACTTACCGGATGACTGTTTTTGCTGTAAAGGGAGAGAATTCCGGAACAGCCGGGTGGAAGAGATGCTTAGGGCAAGGTCACGGGGAGAGGGTGCAGGGCTCGCACGGCCGCACTGGGCACGACTCTTCCCAAACTCCCACAGTTCACCAAACCGGAAGCTCTCCAAACTGGCCTTTTGGATTTTGCGGAGGCTTCATCACACCAGCACGATTGATTAAATGATTGGCCGTTGGTGATTGGCTCAACACCGGGTTGGGGCGGGGGACTGAAAGTTCCAACCCTCCAATGGCAGGGTTGGTTCCCTGGCAACCGGCCCGCGTCCTAAGCCAAGGCCCTAAAGTCGTGTCATTAACATAACAAAAGACCTAACCCACTCTCTGGAAATTGCCAGGGGTTTAGGAGCTCTGTGTCAATTACGGGGAAGAAAACCAAACGTGTTTATTATAAATCACAGCATCACATCCTGTTTTAAAAACCCTCAGGGTCCTTTTAAATGACTTTGTAGGTCAAATGTAACGTTTTTAGACAATAAAATTGTCAGAAAATTAAAAACTCTTCAGAGTCTGTCGCGATAGCCCTCCAGACTCCCTAGGGTGTGGATATGTGAGATGCGTGAGGGCAGATGACCCGGGGCTCTACAGCCGGTGTTCTGAAGTCGAGGTCGTGTTCAAATCCTGATTCCAGTTCTCATGAGCAGTGCCTTCTCATCTGTGGCCTCGGTTTGCTCACCTGTAAAATGGGGATGATAAAGGCATTTCACACCTCCACCCCCACCCCATGCGGTTGCTGCGGGCGTAAAACACTGTAATTCATGGAAATCGCGAAACACAGAACATCCAGAGAGCAACGATCCAATACAGGCTTGTGTTTAGGTAAACTCAGGTGAAATCCTGCACCCTGTTTACGAATGCAGGAACGGAGGCCTAAACCGGGAAAGTTGAGCAAAATCACACGGCTGGTTAGTGGGTGAAACAAGACTACACCTGGGGCAAGCTGGTTCAGCATTTGGATGCCGATTCAGCGGGACGAGAGCATTTTAGACCCGTGCAGGTGGAGAAAACACGCTCTTTTGAGGTGCCTGCAGTTCCGCCTTTCACCGGTAGGTGGCGGGCTCCCCCCACCTATGATCAAAGTGGTGCGGAAAAGCCCGAAAAATTAAGTTTTAAGTGGAGAGAATTTTCTACCTCTTTCCCTGGATCCAGCAAAAACATCTAACAAAGAGCTATCTATATACACTTAACATAAAAATGAGTCAAAAAATAAGGTTCAGACCGATTACATCTAGAGAAGTCTACTCATGTTGATTAAGCACCAGGATTCTTGAACGCCTGGTGTCGGGTTCAAATCCCAGTTCCCCGTTTACCAGGCTTGGAGTCTTTTCTTCATGCTTCAGCTTCTTCCTCCGTGAAATAGCAATAATAATATGAACTACGTCAAAGGGTTAGTTGTTGGGGGGATAGAACACGCTGGTGTTCCAGTAGGTGGACAGTCATATCTTATTGTGGCTTTAATTTGCATTTCCCCAGTGTGTAATTATGTCCAACAGCTTTTCATGCGCTTATTTGCTGTTAGCATAGCTTCTTCACCGAAACGTCTGCTCAGATCCTAAGCCCATTTAAAAACATTTCTGGCTGTCTCATACTGCATTTCAAGTGTAGTATAAATTCGGGATACACGTCCTTCATCAATAAATTATATGTTTGGCAAACATCTCCTCCTAGTCTGTGGCTTGTCTTTTCATTCTCTAAAAGCGTATCTTTTGAAGAGCCGTTCTTAATTCCAATGAGGCTCAGTCTGTCCGTTTTTTTCCCTTACGGGTTGTGTTTTTAGCATCACTTACAGCAATCTTGGCCGAACATAAGGTCACAAAAATTTTCTGTTTCTTTCTAGAATCTTTATACTTTCAGACTTTATGTTTAGGTCTGTGACCCATTTGGAGTTAAATTTTGTATGTAATGTCGATCTACGGTGTCAGGTGTGGGATGCGATTTGCTTTTTTAATACGTGGATACCCAGTGGTTCCAGCCGCGTTTGTTGAGAAAAGTATCCTTTCTCCACAGAACTAACTTTGTGCCTTTGCTGAAGATCTCTTGACTGTGAATATGTGGGTCTATTTCTGGATTCTTTATTCTGCACTGATCTCTCAGAAGGCCGTGCTATTCCGTGGATCCTTCTCTGTCTTTGTGCCGATACCGCACTGTAGCTTTCTAATAAGTCTCCAAGTCAGAAGGTCTAAATCCTCTTACTTTTTGCTTTTCAGAGTTGTTTTTGGCTAGTTTAGGTCCTTGAATTTGCATTTAAATTTTAGAACCAGTTTACTAGTTTCCACCTGAAAAAAAAAAAAAAAAGAGTAAAAGCCTGCTGGGATTCCCACTGGGGTTTGCTTTGACTCTGACCTTCAGCTGGGAAACAAGTGACCTCTTAGTACTGTTGAGGTTTCCGGTCCACACATGTAAGGTGGCTCTCTCTCTATTTAGCTGCTTCTACATTTCGCTCAGCAATACTCTGTGGTTCTCCCCCCACCACCCAAATCATCTGTTTCTTTTTGGAGGCTTTCTATTGCTGTGTCTTCAGCTTTGCTGATTTTTCTTCTTCTTTATTATCCTAGTCTGCCTCGTTATGGGCTGAATGTTTGTACCCCCATCCCAACCCCCAGTTCGTATGTTGAAGCCCGGACTTCCCCTGTGATGGCGTGGGAGGCGGGCCTTGGGCAGGCGATGAGAGTGCTTGTGAGGTGGGACCTCGTGACGGGATTAGTACCTCTAGAAGAAGAGACGCTGCAGAGCTCCCTTTCTCCCCGCAAGGAAAGGCCATGTGGGGACACAGAGAGAAGGTGAAGGTGGCCGTCTCTCAGCCAGCAAGAGAGCCTCACCAGAGCCCACCACAGTGGCACCCTGATCTCAGACTTCCAGCCTCCAGAGCTGTGAGAAATACGTTCCTGCGGGTACCTGGGGGGCTCAGTCGGTCAAGCACCTGACTTCAGTTTAGGTCATAATCTCAGGATCCCGGGATTGAGCTCAGTGGACAGTCTGCTTGTCTCTCTCCCTCTCCCTCTGCTTGTGCACTCATGCTCTCTCTCTCTCTCTCTCTCAAATAAATAATAAAATCTGAAAAAAAAAATGTGTCTGTTGTTTATAAGCACCCCAGTCTGTGGTACTTTCTGGCAGCCCCGGCTGAATGAAACCACCTATAATCCCATCTTACGTATTTTTCATCTAGACTTTGTCGTTCCATCTCCCCACATTCGATTCAGGCCTGTGTGTGTGTGTGTATGCACGCACATCTGCCATGTCTCCACTCATCGTGTCCTAAATGTGGTCTAGCTTCTTGAATTCATATAATGTGGTTATAATGTTTAAAGTGTCCTTCCCTGCTAATGCTGTCATCCGTGTCATTGCCGGTTTGGTCTCGATTGATGTCTCCCCCTTTCCTCATCATGGTTCATATTTTCCTGTGTCTTTGCCTGCCTGGTAATTTTTGTTCGATGCCAGGCATTGCGAATTTTCCCTTATTGAGCACTGGAAGTTTTTTGTTTTTTTTTTTCTTTCTCTTTTTACAAGTATTCTTGATCTTTTCTCTGGGGCAGGGTTAAGTGGCTAGAAACTTCTTTCATCTTTTGAGATCTGGCTTCTCAGCTTCTCTAGACGGGACCAGAGAGGCCTTGAGTCCAGGACTAATTTTGCCCTAACACCGAGGCAAAAACCCTTCCGAGTATTTGACTCGATGCTGCCCAAAATGATGACATTGTCTACTGTGGTTGGTGGGAGGGAGAGCTATTCCCAACCCCGTGGGAGCTCTGGGGATTGTCCCCACTAACCCTTAGGGATGATTCCTTCCCCTGCCCAGGGCTGTGTCTTCACATGCCAGCACTGGGGATGCTCTGCTGAAGAGGGCCCCTCTGCGTCTCTCCAGAGCTCAACTCTGGCCACATGGGCGTCCCGCCTTCCCAGCTCTGTCTCCTCAATACAAGGGGCTCCCCGTCCCTGTGCGTGGCCTGGAAGCTTTGTCCAGGCTGTGAGCTGAGGGTAAGGGTACGACTTGCTTCGTTTGTTTCTCGTCCCTCGGGAATCACTCTCCTTCATGGCCTGACGTCCAGTGACTTCAAAATCCTTGCTTTATATATTTTCGTGTTTTTGAATTGTTTCAGTTCAAGGGTACAGCCAATCTCTCTTATCCAATCTTGGCCAGAAGTCCTATTAGGGTATACGTATGAGAGATATATATAATACCCACGAGACTGTCTATGTTATATATATTAGTATATATGAAATACATACTATGTATATGCTAAAATAAAATCATGTGAATGTGTATACCTATAAATATGTTAGTATGGAAGGCTTAACCAAAAAGTAAAAGCCTCCCTCTGTGCCCCTCACCCCTCAGTTCCACTCGTGTATCCCCTAAGGGTAATCACTCCAATGCTGGTTCCCTTGCATCCTTCTGGAAGTGTTTCTGTGTGTACATGTTACATACACATCCACGTAAGTTACATGTATATCATATCGTGTATCCTGTCTTGTATCCTGCTTTTCTTCACTTATATCTTAGAAGTTGATTCTTATCAGCCAGCACAGGTCCGTCTTCTTTTTATGCTGCAGCATACAAAGCCATGAAAAGAGGGTTTTTATTTTAGCCATCCTGTACCAGGGGACGGAAGTTCGTTCTGCCTTTTTCGCTGCTATGATCATTGTAGCAGTGAACACACTTAACATTCATGGGGGCGCGTATCGGCAGGGGGATGTCCGGAAAGATTGCTGGGTTATTACACACCTGCCGGGGCTGGTGCTCTAAGCTCTCAAAAGATACCCTCTTTCAAGTGCAGGGATGGGTGGGGGAGTGCTTTATTTTAAAATGCAGGTTTTGGTTTTGAATGACACAATCCGACACAGATGCTGAATTGAAAGCAGCTTCTTTCCAGATTTTCTGGTCTCCCCCGCGTGTGTCCCTATTTTGCTGTTTTTCTGAGCACTGCTTGGAGCCACCTCCAGTCCCCTATTTCGGTGGCCCAGCAGCCACAAGTGCAAGACCCCTGCCTACCCATAGGGGACGCCCAAGGAATGCTTGCTGATTTGATCTGTTTGCTACAGAAAGTTCTGTGAGACAGTGGCTCCAGCC